CCCGCAACCCTTACAATTGACAGCTGAATCGATAAAGTCACAATCGAGCGCTAGTACACCAATAGTTCCAACAAGGCCCACAAACGAGGGCGGCCGAATCAATCGTCTTCTCGCGTCATTGCTGGATGTGAACGCCGATGAAAGTGTATAAGGAGGTCAAGTACCGGAGGAAATTCTTGACCACCTTAAATCATTTATACAGAAACAGGAAGAGTTCAACCAGCGCCTCAAACAGAGGATCGAAGAGAACATCAACCAAAGCCAAAAAGGGCGGGAAAAAAAGTCGAGACGCTTGCCCAAGGCTCTTACAGTAAGTTTAACACTTTTTCACCTTTTAGTTTTCACCTTTTTTCGGATTTTATTTATTATCTTTTTTCGCTCACACTTGTAGGCCTGCAAAAATGTTCAGAGGCATTTCTGTGACGTCATGACGTCATAAGGGCACTGTGAACCCATTGTTATAAATTACAGTATTAGTAACCCTTATTTGCATGCCAAGAGCAAGGGAAATAGTGATCCTTTTCCAACTGACTGCCCAGACTGTCTGCTGAGAGATAAAGAAATCCATAGGGTCAGAATTTCAAGGGCCATTTCTGAAGGGAGAAATACGTTAGAACTTTGATTCTCTGTTTTCTTAAGGGTAATAAAAATTTAAATCTTTGAAAGGGTAAAATTCAAATGCCCTCAATAGCAGAGGGTGGGGGTTAAAGTAACTTGAGATCAGGCCCAATTTTAGCAGTTCTCATACTTTCTCTATTTTCATTTCGCCTTGCCCGCCGGAATGTTATTTTCAAAGGGAAACAAAAATAGAGCCTGATTTCAGGTTAGGGTTAAAGAAAATAATGGCTGAGTTGGTGATTCTTCAATATATGTATTGGTACCCTCTTTGACATGTAAAAATAAGGTGAATGTTAGGGAAATTCAAAACTATTATATAATTTAAACTGAATATGGATTGCCAGGTACAATTACCTAGTTCTTGCCCTTCTCTGAAGTTTTTTGTTATTCTTTTGTTGACTCTCCTTCCTCCATAAAACCCCATTTCCCAGCTGTTAATAATTTCTATATTACTAGTAGCTTTTTTTTCTTTATCATTTATATTTTGCATTCAATAGGCCAATGTTCGAGAAGTTTACAAAAGCCTTGTTGGAGATGATGGAGCACAAATCCTCTGGGACTTTTCCAAAAGGTAGTTAATGTACCATCTTTCTTTTGATTCTCTTCAACATAAAGAATTAATTTTTAGTTTCAAACTATAACAGTGAAATTTTATTTGATTTTCCAATGCAAATCTCTGTGTTTGGTCTGATTGGTGTTAATATACATGTAACAGTGTGAAATGTTTACATTTTAGCTTTGATGGACCTGAAAACAAGAATGTGAACCAGCAAATTTTAGCTGGAGTACAGAGCACAGATGGCGTTACCCCAGTTAGCACAATAAAAGGTAATGCTTGTTTTTGTTTTTTTCCTTTTCTGGAGCTTTATCAATTCACTGATACAGTTCCATTCTTAATTTAGTTGATTGTTTAGTTTGATTACCATAAAAAGGAAAAAACCTTCCACTTCAATGCAGGAGCAGGCCCTTTTTTCACTCTGGTTTTGTTGCTCTATTCTCTGCTGGTGAAATGAGAGCCGTAAAAAGCATCTGCTCCAGTAGGCTACCCCTCTCCAATTCTTCAATAGTTTATTGGAAGTGTTTGTGTGCCTTAATTATCTAATAAACATGTGTGTTTTTTAATCTAACAAGCAAAATATCTATGTGCCATAGCCTCTCTCTACTACTAGTATTTCAACAACACTGAATTTCTGTTTTAGCTGCCATGAGAGTCCACTTTCGAACAAAGCGGAGGCAGCACCAAAACTCAAGAGATGACAGTCGGGCTGCCTTGAAACAACAGTGAGTCCGAAGCCGCCTTAACACGGTACATTATATTCTAAAGTGTATGCCGTTTTGTTTTTTTTTATTATTTCCCATCTCCAGAGCAGTCAGATTACAATAGAACCCTGACACTTGCTAGAGCTCTGGGCTGAGTTATTCAAAGCTGGGTTAAGATAACCCAGGGTCAGTGCAGGATTTGAATTCAGATTTGAAAGCTTAAAAAGCATAAGTCAGTTTTAATTCTTTTTGTCTACAAGTTGATGATTTGAAGCTTCAAAAATAACAGAGAAATTATCCAAGAAAATGCTTTTGAACACAAGAAAAAGAAACCCGGGTTAAATTTAACCCTGGGTTAAGCGCTAATCGGTCTTTGAACAACTGGGCCCAGGTCTATAACTATTTCCTGTATTGCTATGCTTGTTGCACCGGTTCAACCACCAAACTACTAAAAAAACTAAGACAAATTAGTGGCCACATGAATCTCTAATTGTTCATCAAAGAAGGTCTACAGTTGTAAAAGTGAATTTTGTAACTATATTTCTAGCAAATCACAGTTTCAGACACCACTGTAGGTCAAAAACCCACTTACAAAAGCACCAGCCTAAAATGTTTGTAGCTT